TTGAGTGTAAGGGGATTTTGGTTCGCCACAGGGTGTATCGCACACGTGGCAGCCAAAGAGTTTATGGGTATGGAGGTCGGGCTCGACCTTTTCTCTTGCCATGCAGGAAGTGGTGGAACAGGCCTTGGTTAGTTGTGGTGGGGCTCCCTGCTGATTTTAGGTGTAAAACAGCGGGGTTTGTGGCGGTGAGCGTGTCCTTGCCAACAGGGTTGGAGAGCAGATGGAATGTCAAGAGATGGTCAAGGTGGGTCTCAACCTCCCCTGCTCTGTAAGGTAAACTTTCAAGTTACCGAATAGGACGTGCCCACCGAGCAAAGAGCCGGCTGGTTGTAGAGCATTTAAGATGATGGGAATTTTGGTTTGGACGAGGGGGGAGGAGAGACACCAGTGGGTAAAGTTTTGGTGCGTAGGCACCTGGTTATGTTCGTTGGCAAGGACGGTTATTTAAGTTGGAGGCTGTAGGGCAATAAGTGTTAATTTATATGTTAATTATGGTATGCATATATATTTATGTGTTTATTTATATTTGAATTAAAAGAAAAGAATAAAGTTCGGATGTGTCCTACAGTTGTAAGTTTTAATAAATGCTGTGGCCTGTTTCATCCAATATTCGTTGTCTGTCGTTATTAAGGGGAGTAGTCTCTTTACTTTTAGTCGCACCACATTCCCCGCTACATACATACATGTGTTCAACAACATCTCATGAGTACAACAATACCCCCAATGTACAGGTTTTATGGGTTTTTGCAAACTTACACGGGTCAAATGTAGGGCTTTCCCCTTTTCCATGTTTGCACATTGAAATTTGCCAGATTGGTTTGCTGGACCTATGTTGCCTTTGAGACCGTATCGCAGCCCAGGAATGAAAATTAACCCCATCATGGCATACCATTTGTAAAAGTAGGTAACCCACTGTATTCAAAATGGGGTATGTCCAGTTTTTTGTAGTAGCCACTTAGTTACAAACCCTGGCCAAAATTAGCATTTATATATATATTTTTTTGCATTTTTCACACATAAACTACAATTTCACAGATGATATCAGTATAATACATTTTACCGCTCTAAAACACTCATATTTGTGTAGAGCAATGTCTCACAAGTACAACAGTACCCCTCAAGTACAGGTTTTATGGTGATTTGGAAAATTACAGGGTCAAACATAAGATTTGCCAATTTCTGTTTTTGTAAATTGCTATTTGCCAGATTGGGGTATGTCCAGTCTTTTGTGGTAGCCACTTAGCCACAAAAACTGGCCAAAGTTAGCATTCATATTTATTTTTTGCATTTTTTTTACACAAAAACTGCACTTTTACTGGTGATTTCATCGTCGTGATACGTTTTACTGTTTTTAACACTCATATTTGTGTTCAGCGAAGTCTCCCGAGAATAACAATAACCCCCATGTACAGGTTGTATGGTGTCTTGGAAAGTTACAGGTTTAAATATAGGGCATGCCAATTAAATTCTCTGGACTGTCTGTCTGGGTTGTCAGGCAGGTCCCTCAAATTATAAATAATAAAATCAAATAATTATGTAGTAAATAGTTAAATATATATGTAGTATGTGTGTGTAAATATATATATATATATATATATATATATATATATAAATAAAATGTTTTATTTATTTATATTATATATGTACTTTTATATATATATATACATATAATACGTGTTTATATAATACGTGTGTGTGTGTACACACACACACTTTTATTTCCTATATATGTATAATATATTATAATTAAAGCATTTTATAATATATTATACATATAAATGATTTCATTATAAGTGTATTTTGAGATATATGTGTACAGCGCTACGGAATCTGATGGCGCTATATAAATAATAAAATAATAATAATATATCTTAAAGTACTCTTATAATGAAATCATATATATGGATTATATTTGTATAATATATTATAAAATGCTTTAATTATTATTAGTATAATATATTTATTTATTTTTTTACTTTTTAGCAGCCTGGGGGACTGCCTGACAGCTCTGAGGTGGTAGCAGAGCCGTTGGACCTCGGAGTGGGGCCGTTGCAGCTGGGGTAGACTGTGGTGTAGGGCGCATGGGGGGTCGGTACCTGGGGATGGTAGTGGGAGGCGTTGGGGCCGTTGGGTATCCGAATACTCGTTGGCCCACTGGGCTTCTTCAGTTATGGTCTCTCATCCATTCCTGCACCTTGGTGGGAAGCCCGTTGTAGAACTGCTCCAGCAGGAACAGTTAGAGAATCTCATCTGGGGACTTGGCATGTTGCGAGTGCATCCAGTTTTGGGCTGCCCGTGTTAAACGTCAAGCCCACTCTGCATGGGAATCTTTCTACCCTTTCTTAGATTCCCTAAACTTCCTGCGATACGCCTCTGGGGTCACGGCATACCTAGCTAACAAGACCTGCTTCACGTCATAGTGTGGCGGAACCAACCTCGCCACTGTGCACTGGAGAAGCCTGGTTGCTCGCTTGCTCCCTTTAGATTATGGCCCTGCAGTTCAGAGCTGTTATTCTCCCTGCTGAAAGGTTTATTCGTGCCTTTCTGCCAGGATGTTTGGTAGATTCCATCTACCGAACAAACTACTGAACGATGGACCACCTGGGAGCTGGAGTGTGTCGTCAATTGATTTTGTTCGTCTGCCAAACACGTGGCAGCGGCCATTTTACCTCCCGAATGGCCAGCGATGTTCAGCGCCCAAACTATGGAACTGAAAACGGACACTTATTGGCGCAAACACCGCTGAGCCGCCAGCCTCCTTACCTTCCCATTCGGTAAGCAGAACCTAATGACTGTTCATTCGGTAGTTTCGCCGGATGAACAGCATCCCCCAGATAGCTAAGCCATGGAGCCTATTTGTGTAACGAAAGACTATGGGAAAGACTTTGGCTCCATGGCGATTGAACTGTATGTATGTGATCTGAGCGCCATTCGGTAGTAATGTGCGCTCAGATCTAAGCTATCTGGGGATATGTAGAATGTATATGTTTTAGGTAACAAATGTGGCTGTATGTAATTTTATGTCTTTTACTGTATTGTTACTGCCATGTGGTTAATGGAGTTTTGCCTCTGTCCTGGGAGATAAGTGGATTACTTCCCAATTATCTCCAGGACAGAGAGGAGGGATTGTGATGTAATTGTGGGAGTGTTTAAAGGTGTATTTCTGTGATTGGCTAAGAGCCAATATGTTTCCCAGTTTCCCATTTGGTCCCCTAGGGGAGTGTCCACCAGGTGGGAGACCTGCATAAAAGCCAGGCAGTTAGCCCCAGTAAACCAGATTCTGCTTGACCCTCAAACCGAAGTGTCGTCTCGTCTTTGGTGGGATTTACTGTATGCTGTTAGAAACTGATTGCTAGGAGTGTAAGCTGCTTGGGGGCTTTTCCTGTTCGTCTGCTAACAGCTTTTCTTGTGTCTCTAGTTCGGGAGTTTGGAGTATTCCCTTGGTTGCAGTTCGGGAGTTGGTGAATTTGTGTGTTTGCAGTAGCTGTCTGTGCATCTGAAAAACTGGGAATATCGCCTAAACGGTCTTTAACCTCTTGTGGGCAAAACGGTCCGTTACACATAGCTTGTCCTTGGGCACGGCGCAGTAGGCAGCTGCAGCTTTCCCAGTTAGCTTCCCTGCCAAAAGGGAAACCCGGTCTGCTGGGGCAATGCTATGCAGTATACAGAGGTGCTCAAAATCCTGTAAAAAGTCATCAATGCCCTCCTCCGATTCAGTGAAAGTCTTAAAAGAATTGTAAGGCAGTTTGGGCTTCTGTTCGGTAGCTGTCAATCCCCCTGGGGACACTTCCCCTGCCCATTGTTCGTTGGCTTTGCAGGGTTTGCCCAATCTTTCTGAGCAAGGACATAGGCTTGTACTCCGAGATGGTTCTGGCCATGATTTCCGCTGATGGGCTTCCTCCATAGTACGTCAGACGACAGGTCATCTCTTTTTGGAAGGCATCCCCCTTGACCTCCAGCTGCGGTAATGTGGGATTACCGCTTAGTTGATCGTCCTCCATGAGGGTGACAAGTAGATCAGCCTTGGGCCAGTTGCCAGCAGATTGTCCTCTGGACTCCAGCAACTCTTGCAGCATTTGCCTCTTTAATCCGGTGTAGTTCATGAATCTGTTCACTGGTTTGTTCAGCTAACGAATGTTGGTTCCGTTCGGCTAGGAGGTACCATCCCACTGCTGCTACCAGATGCAGCGGACCAGGGGTAACCCGACCGGTTACCTCCGCTAAGTTCTTCCCTCCGCCACTCTGGAACCACTCAAAGTATTAAGTAACTAAACAAGACACAGCTCTGGGAGTACAACACGATTTTATGGTGCCACACACGGCTTTTATGCATGACCCCCTGCAAGGGGTCTTCCACACAGAAAAACAGGGGTTACCCTCCCAGGATCCTCTGTACCTGGGAGCCCAGGCCTCTTTGTGTCCAAGGTACAGAAAACCCGCCCCACATACAAGGGGTTTTCTACACCAAACGACAGTGGTCTTCATCCCAGGACCCTCTGTGCCTGGGAGCCAAGGCGCGGGAAAAGGAACGTAGTCTCTTTGTCTCCCAGTCACAGAAAGCCAGCCAAAACAGCCAGTGCCCCAAAAGAGTCCCCACCAACCTCAGGAACCCCCACATCAAGTCCATTTCCCTGACCAGTCTCTGTTCGTGGAGTTCCCGTGAAAAGACCATACAAGGGAAGCACCTCCTTTCAGGATGTAAGATTGTGGTATAACAGGACCACTGATGTTAGGAGCTTACAGCCTTGTGTTATATGATAGGATATTACCCAAAGTATTATGATTGTACCTTCCAAATAGGGCATTTATCCAACCTGATTCGGTGGCAAAATATACAATTTATTAAAACACCCAGATAAAGAAAATACATTGAAGGAAAACCAACGGTTAACGATAGGAATCATTACATAGATTTCTCACATTTACCACGTTCCTGTTTGTTTTGATGCTAAGTGACATTTGTTCTATTCCAGTTTAATGCAGTGACGACATAGGACATATTACATATCTAGAAAGATGTCACTGTGCTGGTACGGAGTAATGGGTGGCAGTGTACTCTGGGCAGTACAGATCAGTGTGTATTGGTACGGAGTAATGGATGGCAGTGTACTCTGGGCAGTACCGATCAGTGTGTATTGGTACAGAGTAATGGATGGCAGTGTACTCTGGGCAGTACCGATCAGTGTGTATTGGTACAGAGTAATGGATGGCAGTGTACTCTGGGCAGTACAGATCAGTGTGTATTGGTACGGAGTAATGGATGGCAGTGTACTCTGGGCAGTACTAATCAGTGTGTATTGGTACAGAGTAATGGATGGCAGTGTACTCTGGGCAGTACAGATCAGTGTGTATTGGTACGGAGTAATGGATGGCAGTGTACTCTGGGCAGTACCGATCAGTGTGTATTGGTACAGAGTAATGGATGGCAGTGTACTCTGGGCAGTACCGATCAGTGTGTATTGGTACAGAGTAATGGATGGCAGTGTACTCTGGGCAGTACAGATCAGTGTGTATTGGTACAGAGTAATGGATGGCAGTGTACTCTGGGCAGTACTAATCAGTGTGTATTGGTACAGAGTAATGGATGGCAGTGTACTCTGGGCAGTACAGATCAGTGTGTATTGGTACGGAGTAATGGATGGCAGTGTACTCTGGGCAGTACAGATCACTGTATTGTTACGGAGTAATGTGTGGCAGTGTACTCTGGGCAATACAGATCAGTGTGTATTGGTACGGAGTAATGGATGGCAGTGTACTCTAGGCAGTACCAATCAGTGTGTATTGGTACTGAGTAAAGGATGGCAGTGTACTCTGGGCAGTACTAATCAGTGTGTATTGGTACAGAGTAATGGATGGCAGTGTACTCTGGGCAGTACAGATCAGTGTGTATTGGTACAGAGTAATGGATGGCAGTGTACTCTGGGCAGTACTAATCAGTGTGTATTGGTACAGAGTAATGGATGGCAGTGTACTCTGGGCAGTACAGATCAGTGTGTATTGGTACGGAGTAATGGATGGCAGTGTACTCTGGGCAGTACAGATCAGTGTGTATTGGTACGGAGTAATGGATGGCAGTGTACTCTGGGCAATACAGATCAGTGTGTATTGGTACGGAGTAATGGATGGCAGTGTACTCTGGGCAATACAGATCAGTGTGTATTGGTACGGAGTAATGGATGGCAGTGTACTCTGGGCAGTACAGATCAGTGTGTATTGGTACGGAGTAATGGATGGCAGTGTACTCTGGGCAATACAGATCAGTGTGTATTGGTACGGAGTAATGGATGGCAGTGTACTCTGGGCAGTACAGATCAGTGTGTATTGGTACGGAGTAATGGATGTACTCTGGGCATTATAAACACGTGATTCTAAAAGTGTGTTTTCCGGCTGGGATTTAGACATTCTTTTTTTTTTAAATACATTTTATGGATATTGCATTGAAATGAATATTCAACCAATCCCACATGGTTAAGAAAGATTGTCACTTCTACAGTTATATCAGCAAATTCCAATAGAGTCAATTGTCAGCCTTCAGGAACCTCTCAATCTGATCTACCGAGCCTGTAATGTTGCACATGGGAGTGTTACCCTGTACAGTGTAGGATCGGGTAGCAGGTTTAAGCAGTTTCTGCTCAGAGGCTTGGGGGGTTTCTGGGACTTCTTGTTCAGTTATCGACTTTCCACTTCTGAACGTGTTTGATTGAACTATAACTCCCAGAAAGCCTTGCCTTATATAGGTTAGGGAGCAGCAGGGAGAGTACATTATCGATTGGAGGAAGTGGAGCAGAATTCAGCAAAAAAAAGTAATTATTCTATATTTGAAAAAACCATACAAAATTGGACATGCAAAAATACAGCTAATTATCCACAGTGCCGCACTGTAAACACTTAAAATGACGCTGTATTATAATGCACTCACAGAATCTAAAAAATCAGAAAGCCCATCATAAATCAGTGAAACTCGATCTAAAGGAGAAAATCCAGGACCTTCCACAAGCAGGAACAAACAGTAAAATAATAAAATTAAAACAAGTTCTGTCTCGCCACCCTACACGTTTCGTCCACCCTCGGACTTTGTCAGGGGATTCCAGCATCTGTATACCTTATCCTCTCTTTTAATGATGGTCCCACCTAAAACGATATTACCTTCTACATGTTTACAATATGCAGTATATAACGTTGTTTTTTGAAATAAATATAAAATGAGGAATTATATAAAGTTATGGGGGTTTACCCGTAAAACAACTAGTTGGTATAAGATACAGATTGTATTTTGTTCTCTATAAAGGGGTTAATCAGGTAAGGTTTGCGTGACAGTATTATTCTAAGCAAGGGCGCCACCGATGTGTCTGAAACTGTCCTGGTAACTTCTGATAATTGCTCAATGTTATCGTTTTATCATTCAGTGTTGAAAGAGAAGAAGCAGATAATTTCACAATTATTTTAGCAATGCAAACAAATTGCCAATTATCAAATTACATCCGTGCATTTATGCAAAAGTTAGATAAATGATTGATTTTATTAATAAATTAAGTAATAACAGGGTGTATCCACGAGTAATGTAGTCTGTAACAAGCCCAGTATGCCTGCAAAAGGACAAATGGATTATACAGCCGTTCGGTATTTTTGTAAACATTCACCATGCGAATGCTTACCTGCCTTAACAGGCCACCCTGACTGCTAATTATGGCCAATTTACCTCCCTGGTTGATGGGCACTGTATTCGAATCAACCGCACGAACGCTATGGGAACTGTAAGCTCAGCCACCATTTCGGGACTTACACGTGTTCGCTGCCATTTTAACTCCCGAACAGCGGTGTTTGCCGATGAATGTCTGGAACTAAAATCGGACACTCAAACAGGCGAACACCGCTGAGACCTCCATACCTTCGGGAAAATGTCACCAAATCTACCGAACGACCGGGCGTTCGGTAGAAAGGATTAACAGCAGATGGGGATTTCAGCGAACCCAGGATGGGATACGGATGGCCGGCCGTTCGGGAGTTTTTACCCACGTTCTTAGACCGACTGCAGGGCCAGCATTCATGGAACTGTTTTCGGCTACTGTACCCGTGCAGTCGGTCAAAATTTCTAAGTCCTATATCTCCCGAACGGCTGAACCGATTGAGCTGATTTTTTCATATGTTGGTACCTGAACTATAAGCTATCTGGGGATCCCAAATTTATGTCTGTACCCCAAGTATTTGGGGTACATCCAAACTTTGGGGAAAAACTGTTCCTATTTAATTATGTTATGTGGTTATCTGAGGGGAGGGAATTTATCGAATATATATTGCATGGATTGGTTACTCTGCTAATTATGTGGGTGTCTCCCTTGCATGGGCAGAATCTCATAAAAGCAGAGTGTGTGTCATTAAACATTAGTTCTTCTTGACCCTTCAAAACGTAGCCTTGTCTACGTTTTGAAGCAGTAGACATTGCTTACCTAGATTTCAGTAAGGCTTTTGACACTGTTGCACATAGAAGGCTTATCAATAAACTGCAATCTTTAAGTTTGGATTCAAATATTGTTGAATGGGTAAGGCAGTGGCTGAGTGACAGGCAACAGAGGGTTGTAGTTAATGGAATATATTCGAAGCTTGGACTTGTCACCAGTGGGGTACCTCAGGGATCTGTACTTGGACCCATTCTCTTTAATATTTTTATTAGTGATATTGCAGAAGGTCTTGATGGTAAGGTATGTCTTTTTGCTGATGATACTAAGATATGTAACAGGGTTGATGTTCCAGGAGGGATAAGCCAAATGACAAATGATTTAGGTAAACTAGAAAAATGGTCAGAATTGTGGCAACTGACATTTAATGTGGATAAGTGCAAGATAATGCATCTTGGGCGTAAAAACCCAAGGGCAGAGTACAGAATATTTGATAGAGTCCTAACCTCAACATATGAGGAAAGGGATTTAGGGGTGATTATTTCTGATGACTTAAAGGTAGGCAGACAATGTAATAGAGCAGCAGGAAATGCTAGCAGAATGCTTGGTTGTATAGGGAGAGGTATTAGCAGTAGAAAGAGGGAAGTGCTCATGCCATTGTACAGAACACTGGTGAGACCTCACTTGGAGTATTGTACACAGTACTGGAGACCGTATCTTCAGAAGGATATTGATACCTTAGAGAGGGTTCAGAGAAGGGCTACTAAACTGGTTCATGGATTGCGGGATAAATCTTACCAGGAAAGGTTAAAGGATCTTAACATGTATAGCTTGGAGGAAAGACGAGACAGGGGGGATATGATAGAAACATTTAAATATATAAAGGGAATCAACACAGTAAAGGAGGAGACTATATTTAAAAGAAGAAAAACTATCACAACAAGAGGACATAGTCTTAAATTAGAGGGACAAAGGTTTAAAAATAATATCAGGAAGTATTACTTTACTGAGAGGGTAGTGGATGCATGGAATAGCCTTCCAGCTGAAGTGGTAGAGGTTAACACAGTAAAGGAGTTTAAGCATGCGTGGGATAGGCATAAGGCTATCCTAACTATAAGATAAGGCTAGGGACTAATGAAAGTATTTAGAAAATTGGGCAGACTAGATGGGCCGAATGGTTCTTATCTGCCGTCACATTCTATGTTTCTATGTTTCTATGTCTCGTTCTTGAAAGGGGAATCTCTGCAGCTTAATCACTTAGCTCTTTTCAGAGCTGCACCTGGCTTCCACTCCTGATCCAGCAGAAGGGAATAGGCGACTCCATCACTACACAGCGACTGCCAGGGAGAAAAGGACGTCCCTAACGGCTGGTACCCTCTCTACACCAGGGTAGCCGTTACATAGTCAAATGTCAATCTAAGAAAGTATAGTTATTTTAACTGTGTTGATGTTATCTTTATCTTAATGTAATCCATATATTACTCCTATATGTAATTAAAGGTATTAATGTTCTGTCTCGTGGGTAATCTCAGCATTGGGAGAACTGCTTAATAACTGAATGTAAATCTAGTTCTCATTAATTATCAGATCCCTGGGCTGGAAAACTGAGGATATGAGTTTATATATCCCGATTGACGGACAGACAGGAGAATCACCAGGGCTAGGTCAGAGTACAATAAAAGTGACTCAGGACCAGGAGACTCTGGACACACTGAACGTAAGAGAAACTGGTGTTAAAACAAGATCTGTAGATGTTGCATGATGAGTGGACAGAAAGTGTTTCTTAGAGAGCAGACATGCCTAAATAAATAGGATTCCAGTCATGGCGGCAAGAATGACGCAGGTGGACGTAAAGCAAAAATAGAAAATGCAAACATGGAGCACAAATTACGCTTCTCAGTCATAAAAACAGACAAATGTCAAAACATGGCTATGAGAGGAAGATGAGCAATGTGCCACAAGAAACAAGGCATCCTGCTTCAAAGACTAGAGGTGGAGGATCCTCGTTTACACAGCAGACTGCAACCCCAACAAACGCGTAGGACCGTTTAAAAAAAATATTTTTTATATACTATTAATTTAATTATATGTCAATAAATGGATCCATTTTCTATATCCAACCATTTCCAGATTGGCGTTACTACCAACAGCAGGACATACCCCCACCCCTAATCAGAGGGGAGGCACCCTGAAGGCTTTTCTTATACCATCAATCTGTGATTGTAACCTTAAAGCGTTGGGCGATTAACAAGGCTATAACAATATCACACTATGTTGTATTTTATATTTATGTTTTAGTGATACAAGCTGGATCCCTGCTCTATTTGTATTCTATACCGTAGCTTTTATAGCTGAGACTAATGTATGGTGGAAAGAGTCTTAGGACACTAAATTCGGATATGTGTCAAAATGTTTTCACCCGGTTTGACAAAGTAGCTTCTATTCTGTGTCTAGTAAAATGTGGCCCCTCGGAATGATCTGCCTGAAGCTCTGTGACCTTTCCACCTCTAGGGATTGATAATTCTGGGCAGACCTTCTGCTAATTCCGGAATATAATGGCCACTGTGTTTCTAAGCTTGGGGGCAACAGTCAGCCAAAGGCTACCAGAAGTACTGGATTGACAGCATTGCTTTTACTTATCAATAAAAAATGCTTTATAAATCTAGTTTGGTCACTTGCTAAGTAAATTATGGCTTCTACTGAGGATTTTGTCTCCAGTTTGGAACAAACCCCCAGTGTAACAGATTGATAAAATCAGTAATGATATGAGATTGGGGCTTAGCCCTACTCGCTGTGAGTCCCTCCGCATGCCTCATGTAACACTGCCTCATATATTCAGACCTGGATTCCCAAAATGGAGGGCCCTTGTATTAATTAAAGGATAACTATAGGGTCAGGAACACAAACATGTATTCCTGACCCTATCATTTTAAAACCACAATCTAGCCCCCTTGGCCTCCCCTAGCTTCCCTAAATATAGTAAAATCTTACTTGTATTCAAGTCTGAAGCTGCCGGCTCTGCCCCTGAACTGCCTCTGTATGCTGACATCATCAGAAGTGGTGTTCTGAGACAATCACAATCTTTCCCCATAAAGTGAGACAGTCGAGGAGGCAGATCAGGGGCAGCAAATAGATTGACGCAATAGGAGGGCACCATTAGCCCCTTAAGGACTTTGGGTGTGCTATGCCGTCCTTGGGGACCCGGCTCTAGCACGTCCCTGCTGTTCCTATGTACTTACCCGCTCGCTGGCGATCACGGTGGGGGGACTTACCTGCCATGCCCGGGAGTCTCCCTGTTGCCGTTCCGGCCCTTCTGGGACATGTGATCATAAGGTCCTTGCGAGGACGTAACGATCACATGGATGGCATAGGCATCCACAGCAGTGCCAGCAGTGGGAGTGCCTGTAATTACAGGTATTCCCCCTGCTGTCTGAAAAAAGTAAAATAAAAGTTTTAAAAACAGTTTAAAATAAACACTTAGATCATATATAGTATATATATATATATATGATCTAAGTATATATATACACACATACACTTACACTGTGTAAGTGTATTTTAATATTAAAGGGATTCTCCAGTGCCAGGAAAACATATTCGTTTTCCTGGCACTGCAGATTCCTGCAGTGCCCCTCTCCCTCCAACCCCCCATCCCAAGTTGCTGAAGGGGTCAAAATCCTTTCAGTGACTTACAGGAGTCCAGCGCCAATGTTCCTCGGCGCTGGGTCAGGATCCGCCTACTCTCCTCCCCCGCCAACGTCAGCCTGCGGGGGAGACCTAAAGCGCGTACGCGGCAATAGGCCACGCATGCGCATTGGACCTCCCCTCAGGAAAACATTATACAATGCTTTCCTATGGGGATTTAGGCGACACTGGAGCGTGAGGACGTCCAGCGTTGTATAACACACTTTTCATGTTCTATGAACACAAAAGTCCCTCTAGTGGCTGTCTAGTAGACAGCCACTAGGGGAGGACTTAACCCTGCAATGTAAATATTGCAGTTTATGAAAACTGCAATATTTACAGTTGCAAGGTTAAGGGTAGTGAGAGTTGGCACCCAGACCACTCCAATGGACAGAAGTGGTCTGGGTGCCTGGAGTATCCCTTTAATATATATATATATTAATGTCAAAATACACGTAGAACGAAATAATATATATATCTATATATATACGTAGATACATATATACCACTATATATATATACACACCTATATATAAATAATAATAAAAAAAAATTATATATATTTCTATATATATATATATAATTCTACATATATATTTATGTAATAATTTTACATAATTAGGTCATTTTATTAATTACAATTTGCGGGACCTGCCTGACAACCAAGTCCAAGGAATTCAGTTTGCTAGCACTATATTTAACCCTGTAACTTTTGAAAACAGTAAAATGTATTACAACGATGATATCGTCAGTGAAAGTGAAATTTTTTGCATTTTTCACACACAAATGGCAGTTACACTGAAAATATAATTGTTGTGATACGTCTTACTGTTTTGAAACCCTAATATTTGTGTTCAGTGAAGTCTCCTGAGTATAACAGTACCCCTCGTGTACAGGTTTTATGGTGTTTTCAAAAGTTACAGAGTCAAATATAAGGTTTGCATTTCAGTTTTTTCACATTGAAATTCGCAAGATTGGTTATTTTGCCTTTGAGACCCTATGGTAGACAACCAAAGGTATTGCAAATGGGGTGGCCAGTGTTTGTGACTAAGTGGCTACTAAAAAAGACTGGACATACCCCTTTTGCAATACCTTGGGTTGTCTACTATTGCAAATGGTATGCCATCATGGGGGTAGTTCTCATTCCTGGGCTACCATAGGGTCTCAAAGGCAACGTAACCAATCTGGCGAATTTCAATATGAAAAAAACTGAAACATGTAAAATGCTATATTTGACCCTGTAACTTCCCAAAACGCCATAAAACCTGTACATAGGGGGTACTGTTTTACACGTGAGACATCGCTGAATACAAATATGCGTATTTTATTGCAGTAAAAGCAAACAGTATTATGACATTCACAGTTAAAAATGTCATACAGAAGTAAAAAAAACCTACATTTCTTAATTTCTCACTTTAAAAAAATATTTTATTCATATTAAATTACGTTTCATAGCTAAAAATGTGATATAAAATGAAAGCCCTGAAGAAAATGATATATAAGGGTGGGTGCACATAATATGAAAGAGGCGAATTAATCCTGAACAGATATATAGCGCAAATTCCAGGTTTTTTTTACGTTTTATTTTGACGTGTACATTTGTCTAAATCCTTAAGGGGTTAAAGACAGTTCATTTAAAAACATGTTTCCTTTAAATAACCTCCATAACTATCTCTGATAATAAAAAGTATTCTCAGTGAAACTAGGAGTAATCCCATTAGGCAGTGGTTGTTAATTAAATAGTGAGCACATTTTACAACTAAACATATCCAGACCTGTTTTATCACGCTGACTGATCTTATGCTAAAAACACAGTGAAGCACTTTTTGACACCTCATTGGCTGAAAGTCATAACGTATAATGCCCATTGTTATTATCTATATTTGATGGTTATCGAAATTATACATTTTTCGATTTTGATTTTTATTGTTATGGGGTCTAGTGCTACATGTTTAGAGACTTTCTGTTGGTTTTCATGGCGACTGTTCTTTTTTTGAGAATTTTGCCTCTTGCGATCCCAAGAATAACAAACCTACCCAAATATTCCCTGTTTGCAGATCATCGATAGCAGTGTTTCCAAACCCAGTCCTCATGGACCACAAACAGCCCAGCATTTATGTGTGTCCCTGTTTTATTCCAATAGAGATACTGACAAAACTTGGACTGTTGGTGGTCCATGGGGACTGGGTTGGGGAACACTGATCTATAGGACTATAATGAAAAGGTGCTATTGCATTTAATGACTTCAAAACCCAACAAGATGCTACTAATTAGACTTAAAAATCTCCGCAGTCAGTAGGCAAAGCCGGCTCTCTCTCCTGCCATTTAAACAGTTTTTTCAGGAATGTCTTGGCAGTAGCTAAATGCTTGTTTTGTCTGTGTATTTCCCATTCATGTAGTTGTTTTAAACACGGTTGGACAGGACGGTAATTGTACCATATAACCACAATAGCAGATACAATGTATACTCCGGTCTAACCCAGCTCGCCCTGCGCAGCCTGCGCCGCTCCAGATGTTTCAGCCATTGCTTGGCGACTGCACTCAGCCGTAACATCTTCCCTCCAGCTAAATATTTCATCTCTGTATTTAGTGCATGGATTCGAATTTCACAAACTGTGATAGGCACTTTTACGTCTTAGATCTTTTAAAGATGTTGGGTGAAAAGTTAGTTTTTTTTTCATTCAGTCACTAAATGTGCTGACACAGATTTGTTTATGTGTATATTTAGGGAAAAAAGATTCTATTATGGGAAATTAGGCAACAGCAGATTGTATTTTCCAGGATTCTGATGTTGCATTTTGTTTATTAATAAAATAGCAGAGATCTATTTAATAGGAGCTGTTGGAAAAATAATGCTGCTTTATATAAGTATTACAATCTGGTGGATTTCCGACCTTGGAAAACATGTTAAATGTTAGAGTGGAAGGTGATTCAGAAAGATAAAACACAAGTTATTCTAGCAGTGCCAAATTATCACTTATACATGGCTGCCATCGTGTTCCAGATTCTAACATGAGCTAAAATTGCATTGGGGGGGGGGGATCAGTGTGTTCTTTATGGGAGGAAAGACAGCTAAATAAAAATGCAATTGAACTTTCACGGTTATTCCTCATGCTGTGATATTGACTGGTTAGCACTGCACCAGAGACTAACAGCTCTAGAATAACTATCCACATTAGGGAAAGCGACATCCCACAATGCTTTGCTTGGCGCGATAGCAGGAGGTTATGGCTACACTTAATTTTTTTTGTAAATAACCAGATAAGTGGATAATTTGACCTATGCATTTGCTTTAAAGACAGTGTATAGGTTAAATTGAGTTACTTACCTGCTATGTAACAAAGTGCAGGTATATGTCATATTTTATGGATCCCCTGGCCGTCAGGCTGTGGCAGTAAAACCAGCTAATGATTGAGTGCCTTGGCACTGTCTGCTGTGCTTTTACCAAATGCATGTATCTTAATTTGTTAAAAGATGTATTGTATGTCTTTAATATTAATGATATAATAAATAAATAAGAGCTATTGAGTCACTGCTTGCCTAACACAGGATTGTGACATTTATAATTCGAAACTCACAGCAATTACTAGACAATAGAGTCTAAAATGCTGCAGGTCCACACCTGCAACAGGACAACACATAGCTAATTAACTTCTCCAGTGTCTAGTTTGAACATAGTGACACCCCTGGGCTCTAATGTCCAGTTTGAACATACTGACACCCCCAGGCTCTAATGTCCAGTTTGAACATACTGACACCCCTGGGCTCTAATGTCCAGTTTGAACATACTGACACCCCTGGGCTCTAATGTCCAGTTTGAACATACTGACACCCCCGGGCTCTATTGTCCAGTTTGAACATACTGACACCCCTGGGCTCTAATGTCCAGTTTGAACATACTGACACCCCTGGGCTCTAATGTCCAGTTTGAACATACTGACACCCCTGGGCTCTAATGTCCAGTTTGAACATACTGACACCCCTGGGCTCTAATGTCCAGTTTGAACATACTGACACCCCCAGGCTCTAATGTCCAGTTTGAACATACTGACACCCCCAGGCTCTAATGTCCAGTTTGAACAGACTGACACCCCCGGGCTCTATTGTCCAGTTTGAACATACTGACACCCCCGGGCTCTAATGTCCAGTTTGAACATACTGACACCCTCATGGTCCAATGTCCAGTTTGAACATACTGACACCCCCAGGCTCTAATGTCCAGTTTGAACAGACTGACACCCCCGGGCTCTAATGTCCAGTTTGAACATACTGACACCCACAGGCTCTAATGTCCAGTTTGAACATACTGACACCCTCATGGTCCAATGTCCAGTTTGAACATACTGACCCCCCACAGGCTCCAATGTCCAGTTTGAACATACTGACACCCCACAGGCTCCAATGTCCAGTTTGAACATATTGACCCCCCACAGGCTCCAATGTCCAGTTTGAACATATTGACCCCCCACAGGCTCTATTGTCCAATTTGAACATACTGACACCCCACAGGCTCCAATGTCCAGTTTGAACATATTGACACCCCCAGGCTCAAATGTCCAGTTTGAACATACTGACACCCCACAGGCTCCAATGTCCAGTTTGAACATACTGACACCCTCATGGTCCAATGTCCAGTTTGAACATACTGACACCCCACAGGCTCTAATGTCCAGTTTGAACAGACTGACACCCCCGGGCTCTAATGTCCAGTTTGAACATACTGACACCCACAGGCTCTAATGTCCAGTTTGAACATACTGACACCCTCATGGTCCAATGTCCAGTTTGAACATACTGACCCCCCACAGGCTCCAATGTCCAGTTTGAACATACTGACACCCCACAGGCTCTGATTGGTAAAGGGGAGAAGTGTGGCGAAACCAACCTCGCCACTATGCACTGGAGAAGCCTGGTTGCCAGCCTCCTGCCATCTGACTATGGCCCCTTGTGAATTCGTACTTTTGTATGCAATATTTGGGCATGTGACATTCTTATATTGCTGCTACTGGCCCTTTAAGGGCCATCCGTGAACATATTCTGCCTGTTAGGAATAATGCCTTTTTAAGACTGTGTAGCAAATTGCATTCAGGCTGTATTTAATATTATATGTTCGGTATAAAGTGTTAGGTGAATGCAGCATTCCCCTGATTGTTCGATAGAATCACTTCATTCATTATATTGGGTGAAACTACCGAACAACCAGACCACCCGGGAGTAAGTGTGCCTCCAATTACCGTTTGCAACAATGTTGCAAATGGGTAATTGGCAATATGTGTAATGTGTGTTGTGTCCTCTGGGTGGCCGCCATTCGGGAAACGAACACGTGGCGGCGGCCATCTTAAACTCCCGAACAGCGGTGTTTTGCCGTCGAGTGTCTGGAACTAAAATCGGACACTTGACTAAGCAAACACCGCTGAGACCTCCAGACTTCCAGCAATTCGTGCAGAAACTACCGAACGGCCCGCCGTTCGGTAGAAAGGATCCCACGAACAGGGGGATTCATACGAATCCTCCCCAAGCTCTATAACCCAGGCAATTCGTGTGATTCATTCCCTTTTCTGTGACCGTCTGCAGGGCCAAAGTACATGGAACTATTTTCGGATACTTTTGCCATGCAGTCGGTCAAAACTTTAACCCTTTATAATTCCTGAACCCCTGGTCCGATCTGGGTGATTTTTGGATATGTGTCTCACCCAGATCAGGGTTACCAGGGGATGTAACATTTAAAGGGGTATTCCTATGTTTAGGGGTACATCCAGTATCCCAGGGAATTTGTGTCTGTACTAATGGGATTATGTGTCACACTAAGGGGAGGAGATGTGTGGGAGGTAACTGGTACATTATTGGCTGGGGTACTAATTGTTGTGGATCCCTCCCTTGCATGGGAGAATGTCTTAAAAGGAGGTTGTGTGAATAAATCTGGAGATTCTGCTTAACCCTCAAAACGAAGTGTCGTCTCGTTATTGGGGGAATTGGATTGTGTGCTGACTGCCAGGAGTGTAAGCCGTTCGTATTGCTTTTCCTGTTCGGCTGCTTCCAGAGTTCGTGTATTTCTTGTTCGTGAGTTGGGGATTCGTACAGTTTGGAGTTCGGGAGGTTGGTGATTGCAATAGCTGCTGGTCTATGGGAAAGGGGATTATCGCCTAAACGGATTTTATCCCCTTGTGAGAGAAACGGTCCGTTACAACACTGAACCATATACCTCCACTTAAAGCCTGGTTATTACCTCAGCTAAACCAAACTACACAGAGTTAATTTTAAGAAGTGAAAATATCCCCTGGTAATTACTCCAATTTTAGAACGTTGGTTTAAAATTACTGTTTGTTTTGGTACGTTGCCCTCTCCAAGGAGCCATTCCTATAGCATCAACGATAGAGGGCAAATCAAGTCTTCCACTATAGATTGCCCACTTCTTGGCGGAAATTTTACTCCAAGTTAAAGGTGTCACAGACTGATTGTAGCGGCTCGGTCATCAGAAATACTTTACATATCCTTATAAAGCTCTTTGAAAAATGGTCTATAACTTAACGGATGTGTTAGTAGTACTGTACTGCAGATGTACAGTGTAGGTGGAGAAATATGAGGATGGAAGCATGGCAAACAGCTTCTATGTAGAACTATCCAAATTGTCTAGGTTTAGATTTTGTGCTTTAGGGATTTGATCAATTCTTGCAATAAAAAGTAGTATAGGTCATGTTTAGTTAGCTTCTCACCCAAGACAGACCTCCATACAGGCTTTATGGAAGAATTCTGAAACATAGAATGTGACGGCAGATAAGAACCATTTGGCCCATCTAGTCTGCCCAATTTTCTAGATACTTTCATTAGTCCCTGGAAGGCTATTCCATGCGTCCACTACCCTCTCAGTAAAGTAATACTTCCTGATATTTTTAAACCTTTGCCCCTCTAATTTAAGACTATGTCCTCTCGTTGTGGTAGTTTTTCTTCTTTTGAATATAGGTCTTATAGTCTTCGTACTGCACACACATTCTGAAAGACGGGGTTTGGGAGACTCAAGCCTCCCCAGAACGGCTGTTATATCTGACAAATTTAGCACACTACAAAAAGACAGGCTTTTTTTTTTTTTTGGAACAAGGGTCATCATCTTAGTATATTCCATAAAGCTTCCATAAAACAAAACAAAACAAAAAAAACAAAACAAAAAAACACACAACATTATTTAGGATCCCTTATGTGCTCCGTCAGATGTCATAATCAATTAATTTGCCAAATTCAGAACAGCTTCTAGAAGGAATTTAACAGGTTTTAGAATAGAATTTACAGATTTATAATAGATTCAGTAATGGGACTATCTGTTCAGACTGCAGCTCCTAACAGTCAGACATTGTAAGCGTAGAGATGTCATGGTGGCTATTGCAGATATGTGCTGGGCTTATAAATGCCAAAACACAATCCTACCTCGACTTATCCTCTGTTTCTCCCCAGAAAGTATCCCAGGAGTGTCAATCACGCTGATACTCTCGAGTACAGGATTTGGTAGCTGTGCACAGACGAACCTGCAAACAGAGAACGAAAAGACATGAAATGAAAAGCATAACTGGAAGAAATTGTACATTTAATGCCCATTTAAAAAAAACAAAAAACAAAAAAAAAAACAGATCTCTAAACAGCACATTAGATACAAATGTGCATCAATTGATTGTGCTACTAAAATAGGTTGAAATGTGTAAATGACCAGTTACTGGCTGGGTGTAAGGAATTTCTGATTACAACCACACCTCACCCCTAAATCCTCTGTATTCTGACCCAAGAGCAATGCACTAAATCAGTTTAGAGAGGATACTGCGGAGCTATCCTTCTGCTAGACCAAATACTTCATTGCAACTGAAGACTGCCAGGACACATTACAATGTCCCATTCTGTAGAGCAGATAATTTAAAATGAATTATTTTATATAATGCACCAGTATATAGGTCATGTATAAAATAGAAGGGCAGATGCTGGTAATGAATGTACGTTGATGTGTGTACCAGACATTGCAGGATTCTTTACATTCGGTAAGTACGTATATGTAGATTGCATGTAAACTGATCGCCTGCGTGTATTGAATATAAATCTACCTACTGGAAGGTATATCCACATTTTGTAAATGATCGAGTCCCTTTAAATCAACGTTCTTGTCAATCACAAGTTATTAGTCTCAGCATAGTTATAACAAATACGTGCGGAATGTTAGGATTAATGTTTGAATTGTAACTAAAGCTGTCTCCAGCATACCGGATGAGAACCGTGTTAAATAAGTACTCTGCAAATATCCTATTGTTCTCACAGAAGCATTGCTTGTGGAACATATTACTAACAAAAGGAACTGATTACATTTCTAAAACATTACACCAATGGCTGCTGTTTAGAAGGGGAGAGGACCTTCGAGGGGAACTGGCAGGCCGTGCCAAAATGTAAAAAAAAAAATAAAAAAAAACGCAAACACTCCTTTTCCAGATTCCCATCAGCACACATACAAAGTAAAGGGTTAACAGATGGGGGTGGAGGGGAGGATCCCAAGGCAGATATATGAGGTTGTGGAAGACTAGCATGGCAGGTGGAAATGGAAGATACAAGCAGGGTCGTTTTTTTTCCAGATAATTATAGCACTTTAAGGAGTTTATTAAATGAATTGTGGGGCTCTTTAAGAAGAGAAGTTTTGAGGTGGACTTGGAAACAGTTGAACAAAGCAGACAGTTTGGGTTAACGTGGCTGTGAGTTTCACAGTTTAGTGAATATTCCCCTATATAAGAGGCATTGAGTAATAACTCCTACTAATATTAGATTTACCTTGCAGTATATCCTGCTGTAATATGTTTTATGAAAGTGCAATTAGCAGTTCCGTTACAAGTATCCAGGCTGTGTCCAGGAAACCCACAGCAGAGATTTCTATAACCCTGACCTCACACTTCACTGCGATTAATAATGAGCAGAGTGCGAAAAGTTACATTGTCACAGCGCTGAAGAAGGGTTGCCAGGGGAAGCAAGCGTTTTCCCAGAATACATGTCTCTCGGGATTCGAACACAAGTTTAAGCCATTAGAAACTAGCCACAGTTCTCCTCTCAGAGAGACCTTTCATCAGCCTGTCCGAACAGTGACCCAGATCTTAGAAACACGTCATGTGAGCGGTATAAACTCTACCAGAGCGTTAATGTTGTAGAAAGTCTAGTTGAAAAAAATAGCAAATAGGCAAACATTAGATTTTTTCCCACTCATCAACATTTCATTTTTTCCATATTGGCTGTCAGCCAGCATCTATCAGTAGCTGTACAGTTTTCATTAATTTTGTGGAATCCTAATTTTCAGTAAAAGTTTAAATAAAAATACTGCCTACTTGGTCCACAAAGATGCTGCCATCCAGCTACTGTGAAGTACACTGCTCATGGCATGGCTGCCTGGGAATCCTAAGAGGGCCTGCCCATACCTTGTACAGGGTAGCATGTGAATACCATGTTGCTAAAGACCGTAATAGTAACCAGGCTGACATATTAAGAATGCTTGCCAAAAAGCATTTTATCAAATGTGTTTTATTCTATTTACTATCATTGTGTTTTTGTCCAGCATGTAGATCTATATTTGGAAACCAGTTAAAGGCAAAAAAATAAATAAAATTAAAAAAAATAGGATTACCACTGCCTATAGTCCAAGTCAGGAGAGTCAGTGTGCAGTTAAGCTCATCAACAGATCTAGCCTGATAACATTATTCATACCGCACTATATTTATAGTGTCAGTTCGGATTGTCTGTACCTACAGTGTTTTTTGAGAAAACACAAGACAGTAATATTTCAGTTGTAAGTATTTGTGCATTATATACATGAATTCATGTAGTTTGTTTTCTAACTTTTGAGAATTCTTTCTAGCGAAACATACAGGGTCATGCCACCAACATCGGCATCCCATAAAGCATGGTGCCAGTGGGTGGGATAATTCCTCCTCTAAGTGGTTCCAGTAACGCTATTTGTGTCACTGACCCACTTCCTTTGTTCGGGGGTATGACCTGGTATGTTTTGCTGTAAAGAATTTTCAAATATTAAAAACAGATAGAATGAAGCAAATTAATGCACGCAGTGCACAAATGTATACACTTCAAATACCATTGTCGTAAGTTTTCAAAAAACAAAAGCGATCGTAGGTACTGACAAGAGAACAGAAGAAACAGGCCAACCCACCAAGGGTGGAACAAGCAGGAGACACTGGTTCAGTGATCTCTGCAAGGTCCTTCTACCCTGAGCAAAACACAAAAGCTTCTAATGATGCATTTGCACATTGCTTTTTGGGGACATCATAGATCAAAGTTAGGACGGAGAGACAGGACCCAGAAATCAGCACTATCCTTCCAAAAATAGGAAAGTTGTTTGGCATGCAAGGCTATTTACTATATGATATAAAGTTTGGGAGAGCAAAAAGACCGTGTGCAAGAGAATACCCTGAGAACAGACAAAAGCTTTATTACCTGACCCTTCGGTGGGTCCCTGCTCAGATCTCAAGCTGGTTTAGGCTCATCTTGTGCTATTACAGAGAGAACCTAAACCCTTTGCGTAGAAGATGGATCCCACCCAAAAGAGCAGTAAGATAAAAGGGTGATCCAGACGTGGACCTCTTCCTCACGGTGCCTGAAGGAGTATTGGCTATACCTCCCTGACGAAGCCGAACAAGACTGAAACTATCGTCTGGGGTTACTGTGCCCTCGTGCAGCAAGAGCCAGCCTGCATTTCACATAGGGAACGCCTTTTGGGAAGAATAAGTCTGATATGCAAAGGGTTCAGGATCTCACAAGAGGAGCTAAAACCAGCTTAAGACCTGACCGGGACCCACCGAAGGGCAAGCTGCTTGAGGTGTCCGTTCTCAGTATTCTCTTGCACCCTGAATTTCACATTTTAGACTAGAATAGCTGAATTGGAATAATAGTTGATTTCAAGGATTTTTCCAATTCAGCCAATCTTAAATTCAAGACAATTCTCACTTTAGTAAATAACCGTGATTCAGACACCATATTCTGAAAACAAAAGTGGTTAAAAAGGAAAGTCTACACCTATGAATGTTAAACATCTAACATCTAATAATGGCCAACATCTTATAATTAATTATTCACAGAAATCCTTGATCTGACAAAATAAAAAATAAAATAAAAAAAACCCTCAGCCTATGATCTACGTGGAAATCATGAACGGTTCTAGAACACCAGGCAGTTCCCATTGGAGCATCCCATTCCCCTTTTTAACCCCTCAATAACTCCCAAGTTTCCCTACACAGGAAGAATAGTCATTCTTTGGGACCCAGGCCCCTCTGTCACTTTTTTACCCTTCTATTCCTCTTTTCCTTTGCGCTCACAATGGACATTTTGGTAAATGTTATTAGAAAGAAGTTGGTGTAAATTATCTTCTTTTTTTTTTAAATTACCTTTTCAGTTACATAAATCATCACTAGCTAAAACCGTCCATGTCAGTGCAACCCACAATGCGCCCCTTAACCAAACGTTTCCCTTATTGGCCATTTAACATGTTCAGTGGTATTATGCCCCTTAATACAGGTCTGTGGAGTATACAGTTAATGAGAATAGATCATATAAAACAAAGAAAGACTGCCAACCATAACCATAATTAGGCAGGCAGGGGACAGAGTCTACGGTCATTCGGCATTTACCATAAACGCTGAGTTTTCCTTCCTGCCAGCTGATGCCCATTCCAGGAGCCCTTAAATAAAGCTAGAATCATAACATCCTGAGTCTAACGTCACACTGACCTGTTTAAGAAGGCGTTTCCAAAAGCATTCAGTTTTCTAAAAGGTTTTTTGGGATCCACCACGAGTGCATTGCCTGGGACAACCCCCTCCACATCACCCTGCATCACCGCAATGAAGGAATCTGTGGTGGGTTCTGGGCCAATCCTCATGCCAGGGAAGTCTTGTTCCAGGAGATATCTAGAGACAAAGATAATGGATTAATAGAGAACATGTGCCAGGGAATAGGTTTTAGTGAAAAACTCTTTGTAAAATGTGTATTGTGTGTAAGTATATCTCCCAGAAGCAACTATTTAAAGCTGTAGCACAGGATTTCCATAGAGAGGATGTAGACAGTACAAATTATGGTCACAAAATATGGGGAAGATGGGGGACAAGGCAACTTCTTTGCAAGTAACCTGCACAATAAGCAGATGTAAATGGAGTACTTGTTTTGTCCCTTTAAACAGATAGGATAATAGAGATCAGAAATTGGTTTTGGTTTCAAATCTATAAGCAGAGGACCTTGCCCTGAAAAAAAAAAAAAAAACCCAGACAAAAAGCAAAGTAGAATTTATTTCTACGCCTGACCCTTCCAGACACTGGGCAGAGCTACCACACCATCAACAAGTGTCAATACCACCCCGACGGTAAATCAGCTACATCTATGGAGGATCCCGCGGTAAAGCAGGACTCTCCACAAATCTTGATGCTGTGCTCTTGCGCATGAAGTGTCAGGAGCAGAAGAGGATGGTGGCGCCGCGAGGCAACCGGACCCCCAGCAGCGATGTCATTGTCTGGGGTCTTTGTATAATTTGCAAAGTGCCCAGGTGGTGACAGTTCCACTTTAAATTAGTACACATGATAGTTTGAGTCCCAAGTGCTAAATAGTGCTTGATGGCTACTTTAGTGAGAAACACTCAATACATATTGCATTTAAAGGGACACTCCAAGCACCAAATCCAATGTATTTTATTGTAATAGTTAGGGTGTCATTATGCAAGGTTTCCTCCCATCCTATTTTCTTTGTCAAATTGCCACTAACTTGGTAATGAGAAAGTTTCTCTTCTGCATTTTCTAGCCACAGGATTTGTACTGGTTGGTCACGCCAAATTGCAGGCAACGCTTTCGGCACTGCAAAAATGATTGAAGTCAGATTCTCTACACCCTCAGGGGCAGAGGGGGGTTGGCTATGGAAACCAGGGAAACTTTCAACAGTTGTCATTTTGCTTTAAAATGTTTTGACAAAACTTTTAGGAATTGCATCAAAAAAGTATTTTTGCACCATAACTATTACAATAAGCTGCAGTGTTTAAGGTGTTCAAAATATCTCTTTAAGGATGCTGTTAAGTCAGGAAGCCAGCTGAACAAGTAAACACTAACCAGCACAGGCAGAATTACATAATTGTATTTTCCTAAACCGGTCATTAAGGGATGGCAGAAGCAAGCATTATGTTGAGAATTTAAAAACATTTATTTTTAATCATTTCTATTCCATTAATTATCACCAAGAGATACAGATTTTACACCAAAGCTTGAGTCTAGACATTACAGATTCGGAGGGGTAGGGATGAATGCAGCGTACATTACAGTTACATAAAATAGATTTTTGCAAATTGCTTTCCATTTAGCACCTCAATGATGGAATCCAGTTACACTTTATGTATAAACTTCACACATAAAACAAGAGTTACACCTCCATCGAATAACTCACGCCAAACAGTTATTCATAAAAGCAATTACAGACCAGAGTTGTAACAGATGAAAAAAAAAAAAAAAACAATTATACATACATACATACATACATATATATATACACACACATACACACACACACAGCCCCCCCCCCCCCAATGATCTCCACCCCAGACAACTGGACATGTATTAAACCGGATTTCCAGCATAATACCAATATAGCCAAGCTGTGACTAAAGTTGGTTTGAAGTAATTTTTTTTTTCCAAATGAGCGATTTTTCCCGTACATTTTTCAATAATGTGTTTAGCGAACACCTAGGTTTGCACGCAACACAACAATTTATACTTCCCAACCCAGGAGCTAATCATCAGTATGGGATAGTGCTAACAGAGTAGGGGAGTACAATGACAGGAGGAGCAGGCTTTTGGGGGTGGATGACCACCACAAATTCAAAAAACAGACCAAAATTTTAGGAAGTCCTTGCAATATAAGCACTACAGATACTTGTACAATACACTGTGGTGGTTATGGTGCCTTAGAGTCTCTAATCTCCGAATGCTCTTGCTGCTAGCGGTGGGTGGGGTTCTAAACTGGTTGTGCAACGAATAGGTTTATTTAATTATAGAACTATGGCAGGAAAGCGTCTGGAATTCTAATATAAGCTTTAGATGAGACTTTGCCAAGCAGCACAGCTAAAGCGCCAGTTTCTACTGATTATATTTTTGCCCTAAGCAGGGCTGTTTTTAACAGCAGCATTTGATGAGAGTAATTTATGAACAACCTCTCGGCCCATTTGGGTTTAGTTTTTGATTCTCCTGGAAACATTCCCAAGTAGATTTTATTATTGTTATCGGAGCTGCCTCTTCGCAGGTGGCACGTTCCATCCTGCCCTCGATCCTGATCTCATATTTTTTGGCACATAACAGTAAACAGTTTGGATACAAAAATTGCTGTATGTTAGGAGTTTAAAAGTTTACAGCGATTATTATTTCCTTTTTTTTTTTTTAATGGAAGCAGGAACCAACTGTATTGATTCTCTTTACTGAGCTCAGAATAGTGAAACTAATTTTGGAAATGTAGAGGCATGTCACTGAATTTATCATCCTCCTGAAATATGCAGAACCACCTTTATATTGAACTCCAAGGGGTGCCCAGTGCCTGACACTAATTACTACCACCTTGGCCTCACCATTTAATGCTTGCAATTCTCACACCTGGCATCAATTACTATAAATTATACCTCCCCATGAAATGCTGTGAGAACCTAACAGGGCTCGATGTGCTCTACCGAACTGTTACATTTATTCTCCACCGTTCCATCAAATATATGAGGGTATAGCAATGCAAACTATTCATTTTTAAAGGAACACTCAAAGCATCTGTAACCGTTACGGTGCCAAGAATACCCCGGTGCCTTCATGCAGTATAATGTCCAACCATTGTTGCATGGGTTGACAAGCTACCTGCCAGGTCCATATTTGGTCCTCTCGGGCAGAAGACAGATTGCTCTATAAAGCAATGCAGGACCAAGCTCAATGGCAGGCACCATCCTGCATTGGTAGAGCTGTAATCTACAGAGACATTGGGTTTCTGCTGCTGGCAGACCAGATATGGCTGATGTAGCTCAGGCGCCCAGTGACCCAGGTAAGTTGTCAAACATGTTAAAATGGACCACTCAACACCATAACCACTACAGAGTGCTGTAAATGTTATGGTTCCTGGAGCATTCCTTTGACTATTTAAATTATTCTGCTAAATTAAACATGTATCCTTGAAAATAAATACATACTTGTCATGAGTTGAAAGTAGATCCTGACAACCTGATGGTGGTTTTGAATATGGTTTTTTTTTACGGCAGTAATTCAGATGATTTATATCCCAGTGTTATTGCTACAAGAATTAAGTGATTGGCTGGGTTATTCCATCCAATCACATCATCCTTCATTCTATAACACAAGGTGTTAAGCAAATTGGCTAATGTGATTCAACCAATAATGCTAAAAATGATGAAATCAAGCAAACATACATAACGACAGGATTACCTTTAAAAAGGCCTCATAAAATAAATATATGCACCGGGCCTCTTCTTCCTGTCTGCCTGCTAGCTTTCAGTACAATATGATTTATATCTGGTGCAAAAATCAGGAGTGAGAACAGGGTTAGAGATGGGATCTAATGGCAACTAATGAGCTCCATTTAGCAGTATAAATGCATTATTTACATCCGCACAATTAAAAAAAATAAAAAACACTGAATGCAGGCTGCATGTATCCAATACAAGACAGCAGACATATTGATCTCATAAACCAATAAACAAATGTAAAAAAAAACAAAAAAAAAACACAACAATGGGAGTTTCCCTTCTCTGGCTTTACACCATCAGGTCACGAGGTGTGGTACAAGTGAACTTCACACCTTGTGATTCCAAAGCACCTTAATATGTCACCATTTAACTCCGTTTTCTGTACAATCTGCTTTTCAGGGTTGTAACATTAATCAGACTGCCATCAGTATTACACCTTTTTACCTGCGCCACAGACATTTAAACCGAAAATAACATTCGATCTATGCATTTTCCAGCAATCTGCAGCAGGGGCACTTTTTTTTTTTTTTTTATAATTCTTTCTTTTTGTAGTGCTTAAGAATACAAGCTTGCATCAACATAATGATAGTCAATGTATATAAATTGCAGTGATAAAACAGGTCAACTTGAGAGAGATGTGCACTTTTTGTGTAAATTCAACATCGAGAGTAAAACAGTCATGTCTAACTGCTATATGAAGTAGAGTTATAAAGACATACGTCATAAGAGAGACATTGGTAGTACAAGTAGTACAAGCTACAAGGCGCCTTCTGAGCTTCCGACCCACACAGTGAGGGACTGGTCTTTCTGGATCTGGTAGCTGAACCCTCCATAGTCGCCGTTGTATTGGGTGATGGCTATCCTGGAAACCCAGAAATCTGTGAACTCCACACTTGTTCAAAAACATGGGATGCCAACGTTGCCATCACTAGCCAAACAACGTTCTACTAGACATTGAACATTTACAGAGTTATCTTCTACAGTGAGAATTCAAAGTGAAAGTTGACATTTAAGGCCCAGTATCTGAACTGGAATCACAGTTGAGTTAGACAATTTTGCCAGTTTGACGATTTTTAACTTTGAATGCACACTTTATTAAATAACGGTTATTGCTTGTGAAAATTTGCTTAATGCCAGATTGTTCAGCGTAATAACGACGCTGCGGACGATCACCCTCTTGGCATTTAACTGCAGGCCACCCTGTTGACAGAGCTACACATCAACTTGCTGATCATATTTAAAGTGATAGGTCACGCGGTTTTAAAGGAGAACAGTCACTCTTCTGGAAATCGCACAACTAAATAAAAACTTTGAAAACTGTGCTACAGGCATACTTCTAGCACCAAAGCCACTAGAACCAGCCTGGTGCCATTATGGCTTTCCCCTGCAGAAGTATTCGGTTAGCGCATTGCAATGCAGAACCACGCTCGCTGGCTGAAAGCACTTAGCGCACGCCCTCAGTCTACCACCGGCACGTATTGTGCTTCTTAAATGGCCAAACAGAGGAGTCAAAAGACAGTGAAGACGGGCGCCTGGAGATTTATCCTTACGGTAAGACGGCGCCCAGGGACTCCAGCCAGCTTCAGTGAGATGAAGTTGTTTTTGGGTGGAGTGTTTCTTTAAACTAAATTATATCCACAATTCTTGTATCTATTTAAATCCAAATAGACCGTTGAGATAAAAAAAGAGAAATACTTAATAGGCAATTGATAAATAATCCTTTTTAACCCCTTAAGGACCAAACTTCTGGAATAAAAGGGAATCATGTCATGTGTCCTTAAGGGGCTCTTGGCAGGTACATACATAAACACCGACATTTACCATGCAATATATCCCCCATTATATCGACTCCAGCTTTGTTTCCCTTTGCATTTAGTGGGATATCCTCTGACTTCCTAATGGGAGTACTATTACAGCTGACTCATCAACGCTGGGAGACTTTACTAGATACATGCATGCAGTCACTGTGAATCAAGTCCAGGCAAGGTCAGTCTTTAACTGTGAGCCTCCCCACCGAGTCACATAATCTGCGCCATAGTGTAACAATTATAGACAGTCTATTCATACTGTATGTGTGTCAAAACTTTTCATAATTCTGAGTCGAGAGTATTTCTACACAAATAAACCCACAAACTGCAATAAAGTAATGGCATAACCAGCAGATTCAAATTATACAAATAATAGTAATTGTAATAAGGTCATATATGAAAAATAAAAAGAACGGTGGCTGGTGGACCCCATGTAGTGGTCAGACTGTTCACAGACAATTTGTGACTTGCTCTGGGAACACCAGGGAGTTCCTGGCACCATAACCACTACAGTGTGCAGAAGGCCAGAGTCAGCTTTACAATTACAGAAATGTCTCTGTATTCATGAGGGGGATTCACTAAACAAGGACATGTCACATTGTCACGTGTGAATACAGAGGCTTTTGAAAAATAGCCAAGTTGATTGTTTTTCCAAATGGATTATTCTGGTTTAAAATTTTCACTCTGGTTCCAATTTTCCGTAATTTCCATAACATGTATAGAAACCCCATGGCGGCTCAACACCACATCAGGACTGAGAAATTCACGGCCCTCAGTGGCCATTCAATATACTCTTCTTTTGAAAAATGCATTTTGCTATTTGATTGCCAACTCTGCTGCACCCCAGGACATGTTTTCTTCCCTTTTGTGACCCATTTCCCGCTCTATGATATAAATGAGGTCTTCTTGATCCCTCATCACTAGAAAATGAATATTATGGAGTAAAGAGGTGGTTGAGGGCAGGCACAGTTTATAGGGAGGGCAAGCTGGTTTATAGGGACTGAGAATAGAGGGTCTATAAAAGGGGTCATTCCCAGTCCTGCTCTATAACCTTCATGAATTGGACCTCAATTATTTACACTACACCCATCATCCCACAAGAAAAGGTAACACTATCAACTGCAAAATATTGAGGAGATGCATATTCATATCAAGTTTAGATAAATGGATATAACTTTAGAATCCATGTTGATTTTATTTTTATACATTTTCTTCTCTGTGTTTCCAAAAATACACAAGATGTAAAAATACAAAGACTATCCCCCCCAAAAAAACCAAACAAACAAACATGTACTTACTGCCATGTAGTCATTCAGTAAAACAATAACATTGCAAATCAATTCTTCAAACAAATCTCAGAACAATTGATACAAATAAAAAAACAAACACACACAAACGAAACAGAAAACAAAATGTTTCAAAAACGTTGATACATATATTTACAGTTTTAACCATGAAACAGAACATTCTAAGAATGTTAATGCTCACATAGAGAGTGTACTTACTGTCCTTTCAGACCCTCATTCCATGCCCAGGTACTTACCTAATGAAAGTGGTTTTCCCAGTTGAGTACTGTCCCACCAGCAGGATCATAGGCTTGTTGTCAAAATCAGCATCTTCCAGGGCTGGGGAGTGGAACTCGTGGAATTTGTAATAATCTTCCAAGGGGAGAAGTTTAGTTTTGTACAATTTCTTCAAACCTTCACTGACTGTCTGAAAAACCTCAGGATCCTTTTTCCTATCATCATTACCCAGCCAGCTAAACATTGTGATGGTGTCTACAACAACAACAAAAAAACAGCTGCCAATGAGCCCTGTCCCTGCAGACTGCACAAATCTGGGTTTTATCTCAGATACTAAGCTACACCTGATCTATTAAAAAAAAGGACAGATATAGAAATCTAAAAAGTGCACAGCAAAAATGAGCAACAGAAAAACAAAACAAAATTAAAATGTTATTTTGTTTTCCCTCCCTATTCAGCTGCTGGATGCTTTCTGTAATGACAAATGGAACGTTAACAGAATGTGTTACAATGTATCCTCCAGCTAACTATTACTATTACTATTGCTATCAGAGTCAGTGCAGGCAGTAAGGGCAATGTCTGCTTCACAGAGAGACACACAGCTGCTTCCCCCCTGATTCTGTGATATTTTAAGGAAAGTGGTCCACAGCCTCACATCAGTGCTCTCCTCTAGGATTTAAATGCCAGCAGCCCAGGAAACCAGAGACACCGGAAGTTCCCATCTCCGGGCAAGGCATCCTGGCTGTCAGCATGGGGTGAAGCCGGAGAGGGCGGAGCCATGTTGACGGGTGCGGCAGACTGCGCTGTGCCTTGACAAGCTCCTGAGTGCTGCAGTGATGTGGGTGATCCCTGCCGTGTTAGTGTCACACTGCCACCTGCAGGTCAGGAACGGAAACTGCAACAACAGTGTGTTTCAGAATGAGCAGCACTGTCTATAAATGTGATGTTTGGGTTTAAATTGGATTTAATTCCTAAAACGCCCATGGTAATGGAAGATGTAGCTTATAAAGCTGCAATTAACCAGCATGAATAATTTTATGTAATAACTTCTATTAAAATTTCAGTGAATAACATTTTTGGAGTTAGTTGACTTTTCATGACTATTGTATGTGTACAGAATTAATATTTTTGGTTTGGGTGGTCCATAATTAATCTTGGGTTCAGGTGAATTTCAACCATGCAAATGATTCTGGAAAACAATTTGGGCAAACCGAAAAGGTGCGGAAACTGACCAATCAGTGCACTGAAAAATATAAATACATTTATATGGCTAGATTTTGCATTACACAATATCCATGCTTCCCACTGTCATAAACTATTATTAAGAAAATGTAAAAAAAAAAAACCCAACAATTTCTCCCTGTCATTCTGCTGTGACAGGATGCGTGGCTCCAATGAAATGTCCCTGCATGCTCAGCTGGGAGTGGGATTTGGGCAATTTGTTTACCCCTGAGGCCTGGTGAAGGGTGATTACATGAGGGGCACCTCCCATAGCAATAATCATTGAAAGGCACACAGGGAGTTTTTAATAGGATAGTACTTAGTCCATAATGCTAGTGCGTGTTGTCCTTATCTCATCTCCCTTACGCTGGCAATGTTGGGTGCTCATGTTCGCAACTTTGTGTGTTTTGGTCTTGTCCTTTTTCAACCACTTTCTGGTTGGTAGTGCGGCATAGGACATGTTTTACCAGCTCAGTCCTCGTGCCTCTAACCTCCATGTTTCTGGACATATTTCCCCCTATTCCAAAAGACTATAAACATTTATTTATGCTTATATTGGTGGAAGCTAAAATGTGTATGAGAAGATGCCACATAGAGTCAGTGGCAGTTTTCCAATATTTCAAAAAACTTGGCGGAGTTTGTCAGACGTTTATCTTACATAATAATAACCCTAATTATTTCTGTATCTACACCGGATACTGCTGTATTGTGCTTGTAACTAGTATTATGTTAATTTAGTTGTGTTTCTTGTACCCTTTTAATTGTGTTCCTTTTTATTTACCAGTCAGTAAACTCATGTCAACCCTTCCTGCTCCAGATTGAGATTTATTGTTTCTATTCTTTATTACCTTTTTCTTATAATGTGCATTGTGCATTGTGTGGACGACACAGAAAGTAATCACAATATTAATACCAAAGTCAAAGGATTATGGGAGTCACAGAATCAATAATGCCAATATGGGA